ATATATTTTTTAAGTTTAAAAAGCAAGCTGTAAATCAGTAAATATAGTTTAATGGCCTTAAAAATGTGTGTGGGGTGTATGTGTGTCAGGGTAAAGGAGACATGTTTGGGTACATACAAGGTATTCAAAGTATGCATGTATTACAAGAAAAAGTTCAAAAGAATATACACCAAGCCTATTAACGTTGGCTATCTCTTGAGAATGGGGTTATTTCTGTATTCTTTGAATTTGTTTAAGCATGTATCACATTTGTATTGCTATGTTTTCCATCCCTTGTACGATTTACTGAACAGAAGTTTTCTGCTTTTTCTTTTTTTTTTTTCAGTTGTACTTTAGGTTCAGGGGTACATGTGCAGATCATGCAGGGTTGTTGCATAGGTACATATATGGCAAGGTGGTTTGCTGCCTTCATCCCCCTGTCACCTGCATCTGGCATTTCTCCACGTTATCCCTCCCCAACATCCCTACCCTCTCGTCCCTCCCATAGCTCCCCACAACAGATCCCAGTGTGTAATGATCCTCTCCCTGTGTCCATGTGTTGTCATTGCTCAACACCCGCCTATGAGTGAGAACATGTGGTGTCTGATTTTCTGTTCTTGTGTCAGTTTGCTGAGAATGATGGTTTCCAGGTTCATCCATGTCCCTACAAACGACACTAACTCATCATTTTTTATGGCTGCACAGTATTCCATGGCATATATGTGCCACATTTTCCTTGTCCAGTCTGTCATCCATGGGCATTTGGGTTGGTTCCAGGTCTTTGCTATTGTAAACAGTGCCACAATGAACATATGTGTGCATGTCTTTATAGTAGAACGATTTATAATCATTTGGGCATATATATATATATATATATATATATATATATACACACACACACACACACACACACACACACACACACACATACACACACCCAGTAATGGGATTTCTGGGTCAAATGGAATTTATATTTCTAGGTCCTTGAGGAATAGCCACACTGTCTTCCACAATGGTTGAACTAATTTACACTCCCACCAACAGTGTAAAAGTACCCCTATTTATCCATATCCTCTCCAGCATCTGTTGTCTCCAGATTTTTCAGTGATCACCATTCTAACTGGTGTGAGATGGTATTTCAATATGGGTTTGATCTGCTTTTTCTTAATCCTCTTTCTCTTCCTCTTCCTCCAGCTTCACTCTTTTCCCTCCTACTTCTTTTCCTTCTTCTCCTCCTTCCTCTTCCTCCCCCTTCTCCTCTTTCTCTCCTTTTACTTCTCCTTCTCCTCTTTCCTTTTTTCTTTTCTTCCTTCCCTCCTCCTCCTTCCTTTTCCTCCTTCTCTTCTGCCTCCTTTTTCTTTTAATTATTCAAATGAAGATGAGTCTTTAGGGGCAGAATGGTGGTATTTCATATCTCTTTTAGTTGACTATACAACTGGTATTTAAAAAATGCTCTGAGAAATGCAAAAAGAACATTTCTATCAGCTTAAGGTATATCCTCCCCACTCCTTCAGTAGAATGAACTAAACACAATAATGGATCCTTTCATTTTTTTGTGTGTTTGTGGTCCTCTGTCTCTTAACAAATTCCTCTCTCTGCCATGTCTCTCATCTCTCTATTAGCTCTAAGTGCCACCAATTTGTTCTGTGCTACAGAATATTACAGACAAGTAAGTTTGTTGTGAATCCAGAGGTTAGCAGGTAAGTGGAGGTTGGTGACAGAACACATGGTATGTGCAGGATGCTCTTCTACCTGAGTCTAGTCCTGTGCACAGGAACAGACAAGGGCTCTTCAGTGCATTTTCAAAGCTTAGTTCTCAGAACGGAACTATGAAGTTTGGACTAACAGGGCTTTGAAGGATATGGAACAGATACAAGTTGTCTTTGCTTTTTTTTTTCTTTATCATTTCACAAACAGGAGAACATAGTGGGCTCCAAGTCAGCCAGCTAGGGTCATGACTATACCACGCCCCAATGCAGAACCCCAGGCAAGCTATTTAATCTCATAAATTTTATCTGTAGATAAATTTATGTTCCAAGAAAGTGAACAACTTGTTAGTAAGTCTTAAAATCAGTTTAGTGGGTCGTGGTCAGCATTGTGGAACAATAGAATAAAGCAATAAAAATTTGTAACAAACAGAGTATATTGCATAAAAAAGGGAGTAGAGAGCTAACATAAAAAAATACAGAACTAATATAATAAAGTAATATAGAGGTCAAATGAGTTTGACCTCTATATTACTCAAATGAATAATACAGAGGTCAAACGAGTGGCCTGAGGTCAAATGAGTTTGAGAAATGATGCATTTAATTAAGCAAATGTGACAAACCGAAAAGCCTGCCTTCATTGTCCTCTCAGTTCTACTCAGTTCTGACACTTTCAAGTAAAGAAAGCAGAAGCTAAAGGGTTTTGAAAACATACTGTAATGATGGATCTTTTGAAAATGCATGAAAATGCTAGGCTGATATGAGAAGTCAGGGCAAGGATGAGAGACATATTTTCTTCAAAAAATATCCTTGGGCTACTTCCATATATTTGAGGTAATGGATAAAGATTTGTTAGAATTGGCAAGGCCTAAGGATTTGGTTTTTGGTTTCGTTTGGAATTTTTTGCTATTAATTCAAGTACAATCAACACTCAGTATCTGTGAGTTCTGCCTCCGTGGATTCAACCAACTTTGGATCAAAATATTTGGGAGAAAGAACCAATTTTAAAATAACAGCACAACAATAAAATATAATATGAATGTAAAAGATATATCCACTATTTACATAGCATTACATGGAAATCATGTATTAGGTATTACAAGTAATCTAGAGATTATTTAAAGTATATGGAAGGATATGCATAGGTTATATGCAAATAGTACACCATTTTATATCAAAGACTTGAACACGGACACATTTTGGTGTCTATTAGGGTCCTGGAATTAACTTCCCATGGATACGAAGGGACAAGTCTACCAAGAACTGTAACCAAAGGCCTTTGAGGTTCCTTTAATTCTATAAACTTATCATTTGAAATTCCTAGTCTTAGTAGGTAATATTTGGAGCAAAAACTTCCTACAGTTTAGAGTCTTCCTAGGTGAGTAAAGAAAAGTGAAATAACTATGAGGATTTTTAAATGTCCATCTTTAGTGCCTCTTCAAATGTTTTGCTCTGAAAATGTTATAGTAGCCAAACAGTATGAAAATTTAACACAATTGTAATTATGTTTGAGAAAAACAGGTTTAGAACTAGAATGTTTAGACCTGTATTTTTAGAGAATTTTGCCAAAGAAACTGAGTCATTAATAACCTAAGAGTCAACATGTTTCTTCATACAATTTAATATAGAGAAAGAGCCTATAAATAACCACCATTATGTAACAGTATATATTACTATTAGTTTAATTTGATTGATGCCAAATCAGTTATTTGATATTTTTCTGCTATAATCTTATGAATCATTCATTGTAAATACTTTCAGTTTCAACAGAACTAATATTAATGAGAGGAAAATTAGAGACTATGACTTATACAACACTGCAATTTTTCTCTGTATCATGATTTCAGCTGAAATATATCTGTAGTGCTAATTATAGAAATTGTGGTGAATATTCTGCAGAAAACACTGTTGAAATCAAAACCATACACTCTGAGTTGTGTGTCTATTGCCTAATATACAACAAATCACAGTTTTATCACATTAGGTAGTGTGTATCTCTAAGTATCTATAAAGAAAAATAGAAATATAAATGTATAAATGCATATTTGTATACAGATACAGATACAGATGTAGGTATAGATATATATCTGTCAAACCTTTTCAATAAATATAAAGATTTGGTTTGCTATGAAACAGTAAATACCCATTATTTCCTTCTAAAAACAGTACCTGCAGATATGGTAGTTACAGCTAGGGACCTAGGGGGTAGGAGGTGGGGGCTGTGGAAGTTTGGGGACATAGACGGTTGCATGATCTAACCCTGAAGATGGATAATAAGAGAAGTTTTGAATTAGTACATGATCACATCTTTAGGTTCTTTCCTTAAGACTCAGAAAGGTCCCTCTTGACCATTTGCTCACTTTGAGATGCTGAACAAATTATTTAAATTCCTAAGTATGAATTTTCTTGTCCCTAAATTAAACAATAACTTTGGAAAATATGTTTTCCATCTCATATTTTAGTTTGATCAGCAGATATGTTAAAGACCAAGTGGAGAAAAACTAAATTGAAGACTGAATATATTGTACATAGGTCAGGACTGCCAATTATAGTAGATTGTTAGAGTAACGATTCATGATTAATCTGACCTTGAATATTCATATCCTTATGTAGTCCTCTCCCACAGTGACTCTGAGGTTCACCATTGTGATTTGCTTTGTCCAGTGAAATATTTACAAATGTGAGAGCAGAAGATACTAGATAGCTGCATAATGGGGTTTAGACATTAGGAAGTCTTCTACTGCCATGTAAGAGTTTTTGGCTATACTGCTGAAGATGTCATATGGAAGAGAACCACACCAACCCAGCCAATGGTGTCTGCTAATACCATCTCGGACCAAACAGGCTCAGCAGAGTCTGTAGGCACCAGATGACTATAGGCACATGAGTGACCCGCAAAAAGAACACCAGAAGAGCCATCCAGCTGAGCCAAATCCAATATGTAGAAATGTGATCAAATAAATGGTTATTGTTTTAAGCCATTGTTTTATAACAAGTATAGATACTTGTGGTTTGTTATGTAGTATCAGATACTTAATATACCCATTTATCTGACAGAGTAAACATTCTGTGCTTTGACATTGAAATCAATAAATGATAATTAAGAGTGACCTATCATATAAATTTTAAAAATGTACTATTTTCAGGTGAGTAAAATAGCAAATACACAGAACATAATAGAAAGCAAATTTTCAAATGCAATAAGAAACACAAAAATATCTTTGTAAATAAATTTTCTGTGCTGGATTACCACTTTGTACTGTATAGGCAAAAACAAAATATATACAGATAGAGAATTTTGTTTGAGGAACTTACCGAAACATGATTTTCTATGAAGCATGTGCTGGAAAATTTTGCACAAAGATTCCTCACTTGGTGTAATGGTCCTACAGGTACATTGCACTTGAAGGATCGTCCCAAGGATATCTATATAAGCAGCTTTGCAGTCATCATTTCCTGAACAAGTGAGGTCCTGTTTGCTTAAGGCACTAATGCAATTCTCATCTTCATGGCACTTTCTAGTCACACGCTTCCAGCATTTTGACTGAAATGTTCTATAGTGCTTCCTAGAGAAAGAGTGAAGAAAAATAATTAAATTTCAAATAATATCATTTCACATTAACATGTGATCCCCTATCACCTAATGAATGACATAAAACACAATACCTTTGAGATGCTAGTAGATAGTTGAAAAGTAAATTTATAATTTTAAAAGTTCCCATAGGGAGTATGGGAGAAATTGTAATCTTGTGAATTATTGTCTTTTTGTGTGTGTGATGAAAGACAGAGGCTAAGTTGAGGATTCCCTGGATGGATTTTCCTTTATGACTAATTTTATTCCATGTATGATGATTTGAGGTATGAACTATTTCAGAGATTATTGGCAATTTTTTGTTCTGAATATAGTTTTGTGGCTAGTCTTTGGCCACTGTGTCACACCAAGTGATTTCAAACAAGTTACCTGACCTTTCAAGTCAGTTATCTCACAGGATGGGAGGTGATTTATACTTTCTCAACAGACTAAGCAGACTAATTAGAATTTACAATATGTTGTGAGGTACTAGTTTTTTATGTATTTGATTATTCCTGTAATAACATTGAATAAAAGTATGGATAATGTACACTAATTTCATTTTTGAATTTTTAACAATAAGAACATATTTTTATTAGTGGATGCAAGAATAATAACCTTTCAATTTAATATTTGTTACCTAAAATTGCTTTTTAACCTTCCTTGAGTAGAATGCCATCAAACATGTATGAAAGCCCTATGAGAATATGACATTTTCATGAGGTTATTTGTCCACCTGGGTGCTACTATGTTAAAAAACCAAAGCTGCATTGTTTGTCATAATTAAATATTTAATTCAACTCAGAGTACAAGCTTTTTAATATAATAGTGAACTTTAATTAATGTATATTAAACTTATAATTAAGGAAATACTACAAATTTTCTGAACATATATTTTTTAGGCCAGAAGAACAAACATATTCTTTCAATGCAGTTAAGTGTTACATATAAGATAACCTCTAAATGTAACTTTGAAGTTTTGACTGTCATTTCGATAGAAAATACATCTGTACCTATATGCTATTTATTCATTTTAAATATGTGTTTTACTAAGTTTAAATTGCATAATTTAGCTACTTACAGATAAGTAGGTAAATTTTTACTCAGAAAATTAACGATGAAACATTGCCAAAATGATAACTAAATAATATTTAATTGAAAAAATACAACTTTGGTACACTGGATACCAAAATCATTTGAAATGTAAATGGACTAAATTCTCCAGATAAAAGACATAATATGGCTGAATGGATTAAATGGATTAAAAATTTAAAAAGCCAATGATCTGTTAACTCTAAGAAGCATACATTATCTGTAACAAAACACATAGAGTGAAAATAAAGGGACGAAAAAAGATGTTCTATGCCAATGGAAACAAACAAACAAAAAAAGCAGAAGTAGCTACACTTTTTTAGACAAAATAGATTTTAAGACAAAAACTATAAAAAGAGACAAAGAACGTAATTATATAATGACAACAAGTTCAATTCAGCAAGAGGATATAACAATTGTAAATATATATGCAACCAACACTGCAGCACCTAGACATGTAAAGCAAATGGTATTAGAGCTAAAGAGAGAGACTTCAACATCTCACTTTCAGCAATGGACAGATCATTTAGACAGAAAATCAGCAAAGAAACATCAGGCTTAATCTGCACTATAGATAAAATGGACCTTTAGGACATTTACAGGACATTTCATACAATAGTTGAAGAATATACATTATTCTCCTCAGCATGCAGATCATTCACAATGACAACCCATATGTTAGCTCACAGAGCAAGTCTTAAAAATTTCAAAATAATTGAAATCACATCAAGTATTTTCTCTGATGACAATGGAATAAAGCTAGAAATCAATAGTAAGAGAAACTTTGAATACTATGAAAATAAGTGGAAATTAAACGATATGCTCCTGATTTATCAGTGTGCAAATGAAGAAATTAAGAATAAAATTTAGAAGTTTACTAAAACAATGAAAATGGAAGCACAACATACCAAAACCTATGGGATATGGCAAAAGCAGTATTAAGAGGAAAGTTTATAGCAATAAGCACTTACATGAGAAAAGTAGGATAACTTCAGGCTGGGCACAGTGGCTCGTGCTTGTAATCCCAGCACTTTGGGAGGCCAAGGCAGGCGGATCACAAGGTCAGGTGATCAAGACTATCCTGGCCAACATGGTGAAACCCCATCTCTACTAAAAATAAAAAAATTAGCTGGGAGTGGAGGAATGTGCCTGTAATCCCAGCTACCCTGGAGGCTGAAGCAGGAGAATCACTTGAACCAGGGAGTTGGAGATTGCAGTGAGCCAATATCACACCACTGCACTTCAGCCTGGTGATGAGTGAGACTCTGTCTCAAAAAACAAACAAATAAAACAAACAAAAAAAAAAACAAAGAAAAGAAAAGAAAAACTTCAAATAAACAACCTAGCAATGCATCTTAAAGAACTAGAAAATCAAGAGCAAACTGAACCCAAAATTAATAGTAGAAAATAAATATGAATAAATTTTAGAGAAGAAATAAATGAAAGTGAAACAAAAAAAATTACAGAAGATTAGCAAAATGAAAAGTTGGTCTTCTGGAAAGATAAAATCTCCAAACCATCAGCCAGACTAATAAAAAGAAACAGAAGATCTAAATAAATAATCAGATATTTAACAGGAAATATTACAACTGATAGCACAAAAATTTAAAGGATCATTAGAGATTACTATGAGCAAATATATGCCAATACATCAGAAAATCTAAAATATATAAATAAATTTTTAGACACATACAACCTACCAAGATTGAACTATGAAGAAATCCAAATCCTGAACAGACCAGTAACAAGTACTAAGATCAAAGCTATTAAAAAAAAAAAGTCTCCCAGCAAGAGAAAATCTAGGACTTAATGCTAAATTTTACCAAAAATTTAGAGAAGAATACCAATTCTACTCAAAATATTTCCAAAAATAGAGGAAATAATACTTCCAAACTCATTCTATGAGGCCAGTTTCACTCTTATACCAAAACCAGACAAGACAGATCAAGGAATATAAACTATAGGCCAATTTTCCTGAAGAACATTAACGCAAAAATCCTCAACGAAATCCTAGCAAACCAAATTCAACAACACATCAACATTGTTTTCATCATGACCAAGTGGGATTTATCCTAGTGATACAAGGATGGTTCAACATGCAAATCAACCAATTTGATACAACATATCAACAAAATGAAGGACAAAAACTAATGATCTTTTCAATTGATGCTGAAAAAGCATTTGATAATGTTCTACATTCCTTCATGATAAAACCCTTAAAACCTGGATATAGAAAGAATATCCCTGAACAGAATAAATGGCACATATGACAGACCAGACCCATAGCTAGTATCATATGGAATGGTGAAAAATTGAAAGCTTTTCCTCTAAGATATGTAATGAGACAAGGATGCCTACTTCCATCACTGTTATTCAACGCAGTACTGGAAGTCCTAGTTGAGCAATTAGACAAAGAAAAGGGGGGGGAGGGACACCCCAAATTAGAAAGGTAGAAAAATTATCCTTGTTTGCAGATTATATAATTTTATATTTGAGGAGACCCAAAGACTCCACCAAAGAACACTTAGAACTGATCAACAAATTCAGTAAAATTGCAAGACATAAAATTAACATATAAAAATCAGTAGCATTTCTATATGATAACAGCAAACAATCTGAAAACCAAATCTTGAAAATAGTCCCATTTACAATAGCTACCAATAAAATGAGAAACTTAGAGTATGTCTAAATGTCCAAAAGAGACTAAGCAAATTAACTAAGCCACCTCCATGCAATGGGATACTCTATAGCCATTCAAAAATTGGAGAATTTTCTTTTTTTTTTTATTTCTTCTAAAAAAAAAATGGGATACATGTGCAGAACTTGCAGGTTTACTACACAGGTATACGTCAGCCATGGTTGTCTGCTGCACCTTTTGACCCGTTCTCTAAGTTCCCTCCCCTTACCCCCTACCCTCAACAGGCCCCAATGTGTGAATTTTCTTATATGCAATTATGGAAGGATCTTTAATCCACATTTAGGGAAAAATAACAAAAATAATGTACAGAGAAGTATATAAGATGATGCCATCTGTTTTAAATAAATAAGAACACATACCTGTTTAAAAGTATTTAGAATATTTTCCAAGCAAATACCTTGTTATTACTTTTTTGAGTTAATATATGAAAATATCATGGATTATAATTTTCTGTAAATACCCAGGCTTTTGTGTAATTGGCAAGACATAATCTCACCTCTGAGAGGGTATCTGTACTAGAGAAAATTAAATGGTTCTTAAATTGTCCTCTTTGGCTTTTAAAAAATAAAGGAATTCCAAATTCCATCATGAATTGAAAAATCTGGAACAGGAACAGAAATTATATTTTAAAGCTGAAGTGCCCTGCTTTGCCTATATACAGGCACTTCTGCAAAAAAGGTAAGTATCATAAAGGGCTTAATATTCTCATTGAAGTGGTTTGCCACTTGGAGATATGTTTTTCATGTGAATTACATTAACAATAATTTAATATAAATGCTAGAAATCTCCCTAAGGCAAAATTTGCTTGGGAAAATGATAGGATTTGTCTTTTCACATTGACTACTAATATTATATAACATTTCTGTCACCTCTCTAAAGTACTCATTAAGGGACTATTTGCACATAGTGAAAGGAAATTGAAGACACACAGTCCTTACTCTTGAACTAATCTAAGAAAGAAATTACATGTGAAGAAATATGTATATGTACCTTACAATATAAAAATTAAGTGTACAATATTCAAAAGTGAGAGGAAGGGAGATGATGTTTTTTGAATGCTTATCCCATTCCAGACCCCACACCAAATATTTTGAAAAGGTGGTTAAACCTGGGAGTCTTTATTGGGGAAAATTATGAACTCTATGTCAGTTCATCTGAGAAGGTATTGATACCAAGGGGAGGTTAGTGTAAGAGTGTGTGGTTCAGAGTCTATCACAGGAATTCTCAAGGACTGTAGAAGCAGAGCCATCACTTGCTATTAAAATACTTTCTTTGATGTGTCTACTCAGAAACAGCATGCTTTGAAGGTTGAATGCTAACGGCTTCCAGATAACTGGATAGCATATCTAAAGCCCTGGCACTGGAATCAGGCAAAGCGGGGTACCCACCTGTGAATAAATCTGATATTTTTACAGTGATAGCTATTAAAACAACGGCGTCCTCTGGCCCTGGCTGGTTAATATATTATTAGGTTTGTTGATGTAGGAATATGATCATTAGAAAGGCAGGACAGTAATAGTTTTAGTTCTTTGATGTGAGAAAAGTAGTGTAATCAAATATGTTTACCATATTTCATTGATTTTAGGTGATACCATTATTTTATGTACAATAACAAAAAATCCCCACCTGTTGGGACCTTAATTATGACAAATGTCTTTGTCATTGACCTTAATATTTATTTCAAATATGTTAGGGATGTTAAAATAAGTAAAAAGAAATCACATCTAATAAGGATTTTTGAGATGATAAATGAGTTTGAATAACTTAAGTTGCATTATAAAATTTTTCACTGCCTTTATTATTCACTCAAGAAAAATAATAAGCCTTAAAATAACTAACACATATTTGCATGAAAAATTCTTGAATAAAATTTTAAGAACTTTGGTATCCTACGTGACGAGTTGAAGAAATATGTCAATGCTCTAGGACTCTGCTTAGCTCCTTATCACTAATTTCATAGAATGTGTGCTATAAGGAAGCAGTTCTTTTTAACAACTGTTTATAAGATCTGGAACTAAGTTAGAGTGACTGAGAATGAGAGCAGACATAGTTAAAAAGCTAAAAGAAAGAAGATTACTAAAAACCTTCAGGAAGTTGATGTCATTATGTTTTTCTCTTTTGTCAGTAGTTGAAACAAGCGGACAAATATGATAAATCACACACTGAGCCACCTACATGTCTGAAGTCCTAGGCAGTGTCCCACAAGCCCTTATATGATAAAGGCTTGTTTGCACCCACTCAGTTAAATCTCTCACCTCATCCTCTCTTTCTTTCCCCTTTGCACATTCTACCCTCACTGCTTTTCTGACATGACATGTGTATGTTTTCCTCAGCACCGGCTGGTCAGTTTGCTTAGTATCGTTTCTCTCAGATTACCTACTGAGAGAGGCCCATTTTCTCACTTCAAGTATAGTAAAATGCTTCCTGTTAGGACTACCCCATTTACCCTGCAACTCTTTGAGCCCATTCACAATTCCTTTTATTCTGTTCGTTTTTAAACTCCAGAGTGCTCATTGCCTTAAAACAACATATACATTTTTAAATTTAGTGTCTGTCTTCTCCCTGGACTATAAGATCCATATGCATTTGTTTCTCTTATTCACCACTGCCTAGAGTAGAAGTAGGTGCTTGATTAACTTTTTTGAATTAATAAATAAACAACTAACATTACTCCCCCAGGAATCAGAGGTGTGAGGTTGGAAAGAGGAGAATAAGTACATTCCTACAATCATGGTATACATGTGTGCTAGATTGTCCAAACCATACTTGTATAGAGCATCCTTGACATAAGTAATTCCAAAAAAGACTCCATCTTACATTTCATAGGGCGCTTTTCCAACAGGAACAAAATGTTTTGCTAAATAAACTAGACGGCATCCGACCACATAAGGGTATAAACAAGCATTCTCTTCCACTATCTGTCCTCTCAAGAGGACTCTGGCCATAAAGAGAGCAGGACTTCGGCAGCTCAAAATGGCCATCTTACCTGACGCTGTCTTTCCATTGCTCATGATAAGCACCCAGCATCTACTGCCAACGATTCTGCCTACATCAAAGACTCTTCGTTGCGGGATCAATGGACAGCCCAGTTAAGACCAGAAGAATCTTTTTGCTTTTGTCACTCTTCCTGGACTGGTTCATTAACCATCTTCTCTGTCCCTTTTAATGTTAAATATTACTTTGTTGTGGAATGTTTAACCCATAACACTTACATATTGATTAACTATACTATTATGTATGGTTTGCAATATTGACTGATTTGTGGAGTGGCTTGAGCCTGTGTGCTTATGGCTCTGACAACAAAGTGAATGAGAAGTAGTAAGGAGATTGCCTCTTTGGGAATTCCATGTAGCTTGTGGCTTTTGTGATAGAACAGTATTAATTAAAGCCTAACATCGTGAAAAGATACAAGTATGTGTGGACCTGGTTATCTCTGACCTTACACCACTCTTGTGAGTATTTAAGCTCCCTTCTTCTTCCTGTTCTCCAGCCTGAGACAGAAAGAATTTATTTTGAACTTTGAAGGGTCTTCCTGCCAAAATAATATTTATAAAAGCTATATGTAATTAAACCAAGAAACAATTTAAAAAGCTGATACATAAGTCAGGTATATTAACCAATTCATTAGTCTAACTTGAATATGTAATTTTTATAATACCATTTCATGGCTACCACATTTTGACATACCGAATTTTTTATTTCAAAAATCCATTCTGCATTTGAATTTCAAAGACAATACTGTACATATACCACAGATTCAAAAAAAATATGAATTGTCTGGCTTTATTTACACTGTATTGGATCATGGTGGGAACTCTAGCTAATGTAATGAGATCAAGTGTTAGGACTAGACTGTAACAAATAAGGTGCCAAAATAAGAAAGTAAGATATGAGTGTTTTTACCCACCTGCATAATTCATCATTTTGGCAGCTGTGAATTACACTGAGGCAAGTAGGGGGTGGAACCATGTTCATTGCACATGGCTTGCTGTGAAGAGCTTCTTTGGACTGCTGACAAGGTATATCAGACTGACTACAGTCACAAAAAGCCAACATCTGGGCAATGTTAAAAGGTATATTTTGATAGAAGAACCGTATGGCTGCTTGGCAATGTTTCACATCACACGGATTTCCATTTGCTGAGCAAGCTTTAAGGTAAGAGGCCAACTGTGCATTACAGACCACATCCCCTACACATGCCTCTGCCACTTCCAAACAGGACCACATCCTTTTGAATCCTGAAAGCAATGATATGCCCAGGTTGTGGAAAAGTAAATACAAAACTGTACATACAGAATCTATAAAACACTGTGAGACGTCTATGAGCAAAATACAATGATGTACCAATGTCCTATTTTTGGCAAACATTACATTTTTTAGAACAAGTATAAATTTACTGAGACATAGTAGACTTATTGGAATCATCTTTCATCTACATGGGATATTGTGATCCAGAGTGATGGGAAGTGTGTAGGGCCAAAAGTGAGCTGAAGAAAAAATCTCCTGGTCCAAGGTTTTCAAATGTAAACAATAAATCTTCAGATACTGCATTTGAACTATATAGCTTATGGTTAGCTCATTGGCTCAAGGCAAAATGATTCTTGTTCTGCTGTACATTTTTGTGAGGGGAATCTTGAATAGAGGGTCCACACAGTTATTCTAGCATATATAAATGTTTATATTTCTACATATACACAAGCATGCACAAAACAGTTGGTGCCAAATAACTTATAGGATCACAAATATCCGTGAAATGTAATCAATATCTAGTATTTGGGTTTTTGTTTGTTTTTTGAGACAAGGTCTTATTGCATAGTGGCATGATCTCAGCTCACAGTAACTTCCATCTCATTGGCTCAAGTGATCCTCCTGCCTCAGCCTCCCAATGAGCTGGGATCACAGGCACACATGCCCCCATGCCCAGCTAAGTTTTGATTTTTGTTTTTGTAGAGACAAGGTTTTGCCATGTTTTCCAGGCTGGTCTAAAACTTCTGGGCTCAAAGGATCCACCAACTTCAGCCTCTCAAAATGCTAGGACTGCAGGTATGAGCCACCATGCCCAACCTACTATTTGGTTTTAATTATTAAGTATTTCTTAGCACATCTATAAATTGATAATGAATGGGCAAAGTAGTTGCTTTAATATCATCATTAGCAGAAGAAATGAAATGATTTTGTTGCATTTTGTTATATTAGAACTGTTAAACCACATAATTTATTTTGTATTAATGTATCTTTAAGAAGTATGGTAACTGCATTTTAAATTATATTGTCAAGTATTTGCAATGCCAATCAAAATAATAACGTATAAACATTACCATGATGGGAAGGTGTAGTTAGATTCCATTTGAATTTGTCCTCTTTTATGTTATCTAGAAGGAAAACAAAAAAACTATTTCATTATTGAACAACTTTCTAAATTTCCTAGGAAAACGTGGGCTACATTTATAAATGAATAAAGCCCACATATATTCAAGCAAAAGTATATACAAGGTTGTCTAACACTTATTTAAGCCTTGTTATTCAAAATTAGTATGGTATAGAGGAAGAAAATAAGCCTCTGAAATATCATTCAAGTGAGATAAACATCCCTACTCTGAGGATTCAGTTACTTCAAGACTTAAACAAATGCTAGTGACTCAATGGTGTGCACAGAGTAAACAAACAGTGGACACTGACTGGAGAGAAAAAAACAGAAGGAATATTTTCTGAGCACCATCTCCCACCCCCGCCCAACATAAAAACCCTCGTAAGTAAGGTAGTTTGAATTAATTTGAATACAATTTTAAAACCAATCCCATCTCTGATTATCTTACCCTCCGAGAGTTCTTAGGAATTAAAATTATAGTATTGGAAAATTTCATCAATGGAAATGAACTCAGTGTTCATCTAATTTCAAGATCTTTAAAGAAACATTGGTTGGCTCCCTACTATGTACCAGGTGACAAACTGAGGATGCAAATCTGCAGTCCCTGTCATCAAGCATCTCATAGCCTAGAAGGAAATATAGACATATAGAATTAAACCAAAAGAAAACAGAAGGAACATTAATGTATTCATAAAGTGGTGAGGGAATCAGATGATATGATGTTCATTTTAAAGGGAAAATTATTATGTTTTCATTGGATATTAAGGTATTAACTTCTGTTATGGCATAAATGCCCCTTCATGATTGTGTACTAATCTGAGCTGCTTGTTCTTATTTTCTACCTACTAGTCTAGTGCACATATAAGATGGTACTATCACAAGAAACTTACTTCTGCCCCCAGGTGTGTCACGGCCTTCCAGACTCCTTACATTGTCCAAGTTATTCTCACTAGGCATTGTTTTTCGTTTGGTTAATTGATCAAGCCCCAGCTTGAGAATCACTCTTTCTTCCTGATGCCACCCATCATCCTATCTCTCTGAGGAAGATCTGGAGGTTCCAACTTCTGTGATACTATTCCATATTTAATAAAATCCCAGTAAGCAGATCCCAGTAAATCGCATAGCTTTTGTAACAGGTACAGAAGTCTAGGCTGAACATGATTTATGGATTAATACCTCTGAATTGGGTCTGATCAGTAAGGCTGTGCCACTGACTAAAATACATTCAATAAACTACTCTGTAGGCAAAAGTAAACCACAGCCTCACTCACTGTTGTGGATGTTTGTCCCATACCCCCTAAATTTATACGTTGAAGCTGTAATTCCCCACGTACAGTTGTGTGGTGTAGGTGTCTTTAGGTTAAATGAGGTCCTCTCTTTCACCAGCATCAAAAATTCCACTCTTTGTAACTTCTTTTCCTGTCTTTAAAAACTTCTTTTTGGCCTCTTCAACTATATCATAAAATTGTTCTGAAAATATTTTTCTCCTCCCTGTGTGTTTTTTCCTAGACAGCCTTATTCTCCTTTATGTTTTGTATCTACTTATAAACTTCTGTATCTCTATTTTAGATTTCTCTCCTCAAGATCCCTGCTTCCCAATGCCAGCTTGATGAGACATGTTCCTTTACATTTTTTAGACTTTTTTAATCATTGCAAAGTTAGAAAAAAAAATACTAATATTCCTGACTCGAATATTCCAAAACATGCCTCAAATGCAATGTTTTCAGAATACAACTCATCACTTTTGTCCACAGTCCTGTACAAGTTTTTATTTCTTGGTTCAGTGTGTAGCAATCCCCTTGTTCCAGGCTAGCCACCTGGAGATTATGCTTAATACATTTAAACTCCTCATATCCAACTGGTCACCAATTCCTATTGATTATTATTCATAAATACACCAGGAGTTTTATTATAATTTTCAGGAACAGTGTGTTAGTTCAGGCATGCATCACCTCTATCTCAAATTATTTTGATGGCTTTTTAGTGGTATTCCTGACCTGCATCTTTCTCTGCCCACCCCCCACATTCCTACCTTACTGCCTGTAATACCTTTTGAGAAACTGATGATATAATCCTCTATTTAAAATATGTAACAACTCTTCATAACAACAGTTTGAAATCTAATCTCTTTACAAATATATGTAAGTTCAGTTTTCCTCCTTTTCATAAATATCTGTTTTTTTTCAAGGGTCATCAAATATTTTTCCATTCGGCTAGCCAGCTTAACAAGGGGTTTGTTGCTCCCCAAATGTTCGCCTCTTCATTCTATTTCTTCGGTTTAAAATACCCATTTTATTTTGCCTCCCTAATGAAACCTAACCTACCCTAAAAGGCCCAAGTCTGACAATTCTGTGAAGTCTTCTGAGTCACCATTATTTCATACTCTATGGCTTTTAGTACTTTGTCTATGTGTGTGTGTGTGTGTGTGTGTGTGTGTGTGTATCCTTATCATGTGTGTAGCATGTATCACATCATATAATTGACATTGTGTTTCTGGTGTGTATGTGTGTATCCTTACAGATGACTATACCATGATCACATTGTATAGGTGATTTTTGGCCATTATTTTAATTAACAATTGAGATCATGCAAAATATGTTATATGATGATACTGAAATTAAATCAGAAATCAATAATAAAAATAGCTGATAAATCCCAGATATTAGGAAATTAAACAACCTTCTGCCTGGGCACAGTGGCTCATGCCTGTAATCCCAGCATTTTGGAAAGCCGACGAAAGTGGATCATCTGAGGTCGGGAGTTCAAGACCAGCCTGGTCAACATAGCAAAGCCCTGTCTCTTCTAAATATACCAAATCAGCTTGGCATTGTGGTGTGCACCTGTAATCTCAGTTACTTGGGAGACTGAGGCAGGGGAATAGCTTGAACCCAGGAGAAGGAGGTTGCAGGGAACAGAAGAAAATATTTTGACATAAATAGAAATTAAAACAACATACCAAAATATGTGGCTATAGCTAAATCAGTACTTGGAAGGAAATTCATAGTATTAAATGCTTACATGAGGAAAGAATAAAATCTCAAATCAGTGGTTCAGGGTTTTAGGTTAAATGGCAAGAAAATGGGGAGCACCTTAAAATCAAATCAGACTTACACACAAAGAAACAGTAAATAGCAAAATTGGAAAGATACAAATTATCAATATATAAACATAAAAAGGACATTGCTGCAACTGCTACAGACATTAAAAAGCACAATTAGGAAATGCTAGCAGCATCTTTGTTGAGAGAAACCAGAAAGAAAGAGTCAATTGAAAACTTAAAGAATAAAAATCCAAAATAAATTCAACAGATGAAAGACACAAACTACCAAAGCTCACCCATAAAGAAATAGATAGCAAGAATAGTCTTACAACAAATGAACACATTGAATTTATATTTTCAAACCTTTTAATGAAGCATGGGCCAGATATCTTTCCTGGCTAATGAAATCAATCATGTAAGGAAGGAATAATACCAATTCTTTTTATACTTTTCCAGAATACTGAACAGGAAGAAATCCTTCCCAGTTCATTTTACAAGGTCAGCATAATTTAGATACCAAATCACACAAAGACACTATAAGAAAACAAATCAACATGCCAATATACTTCACGAACATAGTTATTTAAACAAAATATTAGCAGTTGAATCCAGAAAAACAAAATGAATAATACACCATGATTGAACAGAATTTAGCCTTGAATTGAAGGGCTGGAACAGCAGTCAAAAATCAAATAATAAATTTCACCATATGAAAAACTAAAGGAAAAAAATGTGATCACACTTGGCAGGATATGGGGGAGGAGAAATGGAGAGAAGTTGGTTAATGGGTACAAATCCACAGTAACAAAGAAGGAATAAGTTCTACTACTTGATAGTGCAGCAGAGGGACTATAGTTAACACTAATTTACTATATATTTTGAAATTGCCAGAAATATTGGAATAGTCCCAAGAAAAAGAAAAGATGAATGTTTGAAGTAATTAACAGTAATAAAGAAAAAAAGCATTTGCAGAATTCAGCATTTATTTATCCATTTATGATTGTAAAAACAAAGAAAACCAGAAATATAAAAGAAATATACAGGAATTTCCTCAACCTGATAAAGAGAACCTGCAAAGAACACACACATGTGTGCGCGCGCACACACACACACACACACACACACACACACTCTTTATGGTACAAAGCTGAATGTCTTTTTCCTAAGACAGGTGAAAAGACAGGATGCCCACTTTTAACAATTCTATTTAATATACTGAAAGCTCTAGTCAGGGTAATAAAGCAAGGAAAATAAATGAAAGAGAAAGACTACAGATTGGAAAGGGAAAAGTGAAACTCTATTGTAGATGACAAGACTACTTCTGTAGAATTTCCTGAAGATTCTACCAAAAAAAACCCAAAAAACAAAAAACAACAACAGCAACTAATAGTTGCATTTAGCCAGTCATAGAGTAAGGTCCATGTATAAAAGTTGATTGTATTTCTATATAATCGCTATAATCAACAGAGAGTTAGGATGTAAAATAAATTACCATTTACAACAGTACCAAAAAGCGAAATGTGTTTGTAGAAGCCTAAAATAAATGTGCAAGAATTATATATTGAAAACAATGAATTAAATCAATAAAGTTAAAATAAATGGAGAAATATATCATATTAATGGATCTGAACACTCAACATAGTAAATTGGTTTATAATTTCAAGGTAAATCCAGTTAAAAGGTCAGCAGGATTTCTTTGCAGACATTGACAATCTGATTCTAAAATTTTTATGGAAAGGCAAAGTGGACCAGCCAGGTGGTGCACACCTGTAATCTCAGCAGTTTTGGAAACTGAGGTGGGTAGATCACCTGAGCCCAGGAGTTAGAGACCAGCCTGGCTAACATGGCGAAAGCCAGTTTCTATTAAAAATACAAAAATTAGTGTGGCATGGTGGCACACCCCTATGATCCCAACTACTTAGAAGACTTTGGCATGAGAATTGCTTGAATCCAGGAAGCAGAGGCTGCACTGAGTCAAGATCGGGCCACTACACTCCAGCATGGGTAACACAGCAAGGCCCTTTCAAAAACAGTAACTACAACAACAAAAACAGGTAAATATTTTTAAAAGGACAAATAAATAGCCAAAATTATTTTTTAAATAACAGTTGAAGGAATCACACTACTTGATTTCAAGACTTTCTGTGAAGCTACAGTAAGACTGTAGAATATTTGCAAAAGTGCAGAATTAATTCAATGGAATGGAATAGAAAGTCTAGAAATAGAGCCACCAATACATGGCCAAATGACTTTTGAGAAAACTAAAACTGTTATTATTTTCCACAAATGTGAATGGAACAATTAAATATCTGCATGAAAAAAAAAATCTGACTTGTATCTTGTACTGCATACAAAAATTAACTCATAATGTAACATAGGCTTAAATATAAAACCGAAAACTACATTATTTCGAGATTATATGAGAAAATTTTTGTTAATGCGAATTGGTGAAATGTTTATTAGCTACAACATTAAAAGTATGATCTATGAAAAAAATCAACTGAATTTCACCATTTTTTAAAAATTCTGTTTTTTAAGACACTCAAGGAAATAATGACACAGACTAAAAACATACAAAGCAGAAATTCAGATTAAAAAAAATCTATTCAACATACAGAAACAACTCTCAAAACTCAATGCAATAACCAAAACCAATTTAAAAATGGGCAAAAGTTTGAAAAAATATTTTACCAAATAAGATAGATGGCACATAGCACATAAAAATATGCTCAACATTAAGTATAAATTAAAACCTTAATGTGATACCACTAAATATATATTAGAATGGCAAAAAATAAAAGTGTTATTGGGGACTTGAGGCAACGGGAAATTTTATACATTGATGGTTACATTAAATCTGAATTACAGTTTAGAAGCTTTTGGTAACATTAAGTACATACTTACCATGTGACCCCACAATTTCATACCCAAGTGAAATAAAACTTATGTTCGTATGAGTCTTGTATATGAATATTTATAGCAGCCTTATTTTTAATCCCTGAAAACCTGGAAATAATGCAGTTTACTTTCAATAATGAACGGATAACCAATCTGTGGTATACTCACACAATGAAATACTACTCGTCAAGAGAAAACAACTTGTGCATGAGAAAAATAAATGAATCTCCAATGTATTATGTTAAATAAAATATACTGAATTAAAATGGCTACATGTTGCATAACTTCAATTGTTGATATTCTGGAAAAGGCAAAATTATGGAACAGAAAATTGTCTAATCAGCTCACCAGGAATGATTAAATGGGTTGGACGATGAGATCATTCCATGGAGATGAGAGGTAAATCTGCCTCTTATAAAGTGAGAGAAGGTTGATTATAAAAGAAGAGATTAGGACTCTATGATAACAGGTGCATTCCTCAGCTGACTACTTTTCATAGTACATAGGGACATTATAGACTAAAAACTGTTCACTTTAGAACTGTTTGATCTTGCACTTCTCTTGGAATGTCTTTTTTGTACCCTCAAAGGTACATTTTGAGGGTACAAAATGTACCAGACTAGCTGATCACCACTACTCCAGTGCATTAGCCTGATTAAATATTCCTATGCAAAGGCAAGTAACTCTAGCAATTAAATTTTTATTTCTCCTGGTAGACTCTGAGTTCCTTAACCACAAGGATAATATCTTATTTGTCTTATATCATCCAGGTGTTGTGCAAAGCCACAATAAACCCCACAAATATAAGAATTGAGTGAGTCAATCTATAATGCTAATGACTTAAATGAAGCTTAAAATTGTGGTTAGCAATTTAAGAAATATGTCATGTGTTTACTGAGGTCTAATGCCTCACAAAATCCCAAGGTACATCAAAAACTGTATCAAAAAACCTCATGTGTCCCACAAATATATACAACTGCTATGTACCAACAAAATTCTAAAAATAATAAAACTTTGAAATGAATTAATCGAATTACAAAAAAAATTAATCAGATTACATAGATATGAATTTTGAAATTGTGGCTTTCTTTTTCATGATTATAAACATTTCTTATAACAAAATATTACCTGATTTATTGATACATTTTTTTCCAAGCAGTTTGTTCACAGTACAAGAGAAGTCATCAGTGCAGAGACACTCTTTAAATTGGAAATTGCTTTCCACTAAGTACTGGATACTCAGGTTACAGTATGATGAATTCCTCATCTTACAGGTGTCACCTGGATCTCACAATCAAAAACATAACATTATAGATATTAATCTGATTATAATTTTGGATTCTTCCTCCCTAAAGTACTTTTAACATATTAATCTGAATAATTAATATAGTAAGATTATCTGGGGTTACAATAGGACATCCATATAAGTGACTTTTTAAGAAAAACATCTATTTTCATTGAATATTTTCCATAATGTACTTTCTATACTAAAATTTTCTGCATTTTAAAATAGCTTTGTTCCTACTTAGAATGCCATTTCTTGCTTTTCAGTAAAAATAAGGCTATTCCCACCCTAGGTGACCAGAATGCTCTTTAATCTTAACATTTTGTCTGCTTATCTATTTCATCAGCTATTTTGTCTTAATCTGTTATTTTATTTTCATGTCATTCGAAGGCTATAGTAAGAGATGTGCAGGTGGTTTTAAATTTATCATTAAAAATTATGTGGTTCTGGAACATAGCACTCAGTAAGTATTATTGAATAAGTGAATAAGTCTTTCATAATTACCAATATTTCATTTTTCTGCATTAATTTAAAAATATATACTCCTCTACCTGAAATTTTTCTTTTATTATTCTGACTAAAACTACTTGAGTTTATTTCAGTTGTACCTTTGAGAATATGTATATTTCAGCTTTATATATAAAATAATTACGCAAATATTACTGCAAACAACTTGCAATTTGTACACTAAAATTAATAAATAAGTTACAATTTGTGACAATGAAATATAATACTTTGACAACATATTTTAAACTGCCTTATAAAATGTAGCAAGAAGTTTAATCAACAAAACAAATAAATTATTTTTGTCATCCTCTGTCCTCATCTTAAAGTTGGTACTTTGAGCAAATAAATTATGCCTTTGAATTTACACTGTATAACAGTGTTCTACTGTATAAACTATGTTGTACCATATAGTCAGTTTATTCTATTTGCTTTTAATAAAAGAAGTTTTACTACAATGCTGTCATTCAATGCTTATTTATCTATTTGAATATTCAAAATATATATATTTTTTCTTTTTAAGAAAATACCAGTCACTCTCCAATCTTCACATTCTCAACTCTTGAACCTTGCCTCAAACATTTGAAAGGTAGGAAAAGTTAAAAACCAAAACCATAGTTTTACTTGTTCTTGACATAGAATTGAAAATACTGTATATAAGTTTCAAGAATATAAAATGTACATTATACATGGACAAATACACAACAATTATTATTAAAGCAACTTTTATTTTCTCTATTTTATCATGACATATAATCAAAATAATCTTTCGTTTGAAAAAATGCTGCCATGGTTCTGAGAAGCATGCATAAAATTATAGCATTATACATGGTGAGAGAGGTAAGAAATTATCTGAAATCTTGAATAACACTGCTCTCAGTATCAGTAATTAAAGCCCATTAGTAATTAAGAAAATCATTTTGTAATTAAATTTGCTAATACATAATTAAAAGTGAATCAATTTGATGTCAAGATTGAATAAGATACTTAGAGAAAACCTTAGTGCCTAGGATAATCACAAAATATCAAATCTTATTTTTATTTTCATGAAAATAAATAATTTGACTGCATTTTTAGTAACTTGTTTACCTGAATCACTGCAGGCATCTTCCATTACACTCCAAGCATGCTTACATCCGTTTGCGTCGCGTAAGCATTGCTCTCTTAAATATGTGCAATTATTGCTTTGGGAAGTGTATTCATTTTCCAAGCTCAGGCCCACAGCTTGAATAACAACAACAATAAAAACAAGTTTGTAATGTCAGCATGGCATCCATTTTCTTCAAATCTAGATTATTAATGATAAAGGGCAGAATTATGGAAAATAACATGTAGTGAAATTACTGATTGTCAGAATAATCTTAACCTCCTCTTTAGCTGTAGATCTATATTTGTTCTTAAGATTTTTAAACGAATAAGTTAAATTTTTTCATTTTACCTTCTCATCATCTCTTTATTCTTAACTTATATTTTTTTTTACTATTGTTCCATTAAAACTACTCTTAAAAAATGTCTCTACCCCTTTAAAATCCAACTTAAAGGTTTTAAGACTTCATGTCACCGTTGAGCATTTTGATGACTTTTTGTTTTTGAAACTCTTCCTTTGGCAGTCCAGCCTTCTTGTTCTCTTGATATTTATCTACCTTGTATTTTCTGTCCACAGCTAAAATTCTTCCCAGATCATTTTATTCTTCTGGTAAAGTGTAATTTTAGCTTAGGTTCTCTTATCAGAGCTTTTCTATTTTCATTTTATATATTCTCTGCAGAAAATTCCATGTACTCTTAGGGTTTGAAGTAAAATCTTTAGTCTGATGATTCTCAAATGTGTAATTCAATCTCAGTACTTCCAGTGCTCCAGTCAGATATGTAATTGTTATCTCTACCTGAATGTTTCAGAAACACTTTAACATGGTCTTCACCATCCTTGTTCTGCTGTGAACCACTCTACTCCATCTACAATTCATGCCACAATTAACATAAGCAAATAGAAATCTTGGTTTTGTGGTAGACTACTTTCCATCCTCAACTTCACTCTCCCATATTCATTCTTGCTAAATTTGGTTGACTTTCACTTTGAGCATTTTTTAACTCATTAGCCAGTTAGCCTCTAGTTCGAATCTTATTCAGAACATTATTCAAGTAAGTTATAACTCCTAATCTACCTAATGCACTATTCTAGTGTTGCCATTTTTCTGTTTATATCTTTTAAATGATTTCTCATATCAAGGCTCTCATATTCCTTACCATGTGCAATCTGGAAGGCCTCAAGCGTTTATCGTTTTCCAAATGATCCATGCCGCATACTTACCGTCTGGTCCATGTTAAGTATTCCTTTTCTTTTTCTTCTGGAATAACCCTTTTTGTTGTTTAAATCTGAACACAATCATTATCTATTTTCAGGAAACTTTACCTGAATTCCATACTCGCATTTTTCCACACTCAAACTGAATTTGACATCTTTAATCCATTTTACTAGAACCGTGGGGATCTCCCAATTACAGGATTTACTGTTCTGCAGTGTGTATATTCACATGCTTATCTCCACACCACTGTACTGCACAGATTTACCTGGGCAGACATTAAGGATAATTTATAACTGTATTTTCACCACCAAACACAATGATAACCTATGAGTATCTAATACATGTATACTGACTTATATTCAACTTATTAGTTGTTTATATATGAGATATGTAAATGACTGATAACATCTAAAAATAATACCTTCCAGATATTTACAAGTTATTTTTGCTAGAAGAGAAATGGTTTCAGCAAGTTTTCTAAAAACAATCAAGGAAACAGAAATGTTAATTTAATATGTTATACAAGTTAGTCAAATTGACTCTGCAAACATATTAAGTGACACTAGCCAAAGCGATTAATAGAAAAAAAATATGGGGATCGCAATTGTGTTACAGAGACAGTTACAGTAACTGTCACCAAGAGAGTCAAGCTATAACTAAATGCCTATTTGAATTTTTAAATGCTGTTGTTAATTATGAATCACCTGTGACAATGTAGAGTGATAGACTTCAAGTAAGGCCTTAAAATCTTTTTCTTTTTAAATCTTACCTCTTTCCAAATATCATCTTATAAGAAGAATCCAAGACAACTGATTGGACCATGTGTACTACTTGCTGGGTCACTGCATTTGGAGATTAGGCCCATGGGTGTAGCTTGGCAACATTTTTCTTGCTGAGGGCTGGAGTGGAAATGGACATATCAGCTTTCTGTTTTCTCTTGTGTTCATGGACAACCTCATTTAGTCAAGCCCTTGTTTTCCTTAGTCGGCAAGCCCAGAAACAGAAAAATAGGACCCTTTTGATCCTAGCCCAAAGATACTTTGCCAAATCCAGTTTTCCAGAAACACAGAAATAGGAATTTGAAGTCATAAACTTATAAGAAAATGGCGTTTTATTTGCCATTAATCATTATATCCTGTGAAAAGCTCCCTCAAGCATCTTATAAGTGACAATCTTCTGGATATATCATCAAAACCTCATCAGTACTTCAGAGTAATGATCACTTAGAAATTCTACATGTTATGTTTCCCAAATATGTTTTATTTCCTTTAACATTTTTGTTTTTTTAATAAGCTACTTAATTGATTATTTTATTGGATTTCTCGTACCTTCTACTCAGACAAAATATTTAATCAGCTAAGAAAACCACCTCAATGATTTGCTCCACAAGAATTAAAAATATAACTTTACATTTCCAAAATCTGTCTTATTCATTCCTATGATTTGTGTTTTCGTATTTAACCTAGGATTTTTTTAAGAATTCTCCTGAAATGCTCCATGAAAAATAACTTCTATTTTAAAATTATTAAGATGTATAGTGTTGCAAATTTTATCACTATTTTAAAGAAGTATAGGGTTCATTGTCCTATTAAATGCTCTCAGTTTTTAAAGTCCATCATTTTCCACATTTCTTTGCCAACAGGTATTTTCCTCATTATTTCCCCATTTAGATAATGTTGACAAGCTTTCTGAAGAGTATAATATGGGAAATGTTGATACAACCTATCAAATAGAAAAATTTTAGTTCTAACCATGTTAAGAAATTATCTCCCTCCTTCATGAAACCTGGTGTCAAGTTAATTTAGAAATAAAAGATGAAAATAAGAGGCCATTGCCTTTTCAACTATGGTCATAATGAGTCTATCATGCGTTTTGAGAGCTTCATTATATTGCTGCCTGATCTATAAAAATTAAAGTGTCCCATATTTCTCTTTACAACAAAAAAGTAAATAAATATTCAAAATCTGTACAAAAATAAGAAAATGTATTAGGAATAAGTACAAAAAGCAAAATTCTGGAATAATGGAAAAGTATTACTTAAACCAAAGACAAACTGAAAATACAGAAGGCATTTCTCTCCTTCTTAAGCTTCCGTGACTTGATTTGACTCTCCTTTTATATCCCACACAATTTAAAGTACACCGCTTTGCTTTCTTGCCCACAATGATGCCTTTATTCATCAGGTATATGCCAGCTTAAACATAAAATGGCATATGTTTAAAATCACTATCCAGCTAAGATTACAATTATTTCTTTTCTGAATTCAGTTTATAGATTCTACCAAACGCTAAAAAAGATATAATATATTCTCCAGTCACACATCTAGAAAATAGATTTTCTTGGATTCTGCATTAAATAAAAATAAGTTATTTTTCATCAACATCTTATAATACATTCATAGGATCCAATAAAAGAGAAATAAGTTCATGCTTCAGCTCTAGCTTATGAAAATTAATCAAAATATGAGGCATTTTGATATAATGTTAAGTTGTTTTACTTCACTAAATGACTGTTAGCAAATATTAACACTGTAGGAAATTGAATGGTTTAAATTAGTCTTATTTTTATTTAATTTCAAAGCAAATAAAATAGATAACAGCTAGAAATTTTTCATCTTATAACTTGTAAACAGATACTGGAAGGTTTTATTTCTAAAAGGTTCTAACACGTGTGAATTCCATTAATCCTAATAAATAGCTCAAAATCATTGGGTCACTTTATACACAGAAACAATCCGAGAGATTAATGCAATTTTTACATTCTGCATTATGTATAGAGTTAGAAATAAGTAAAAGTGAGCGTACATTTTTGCAAGAGGAATAAATCATGTTAAAGTATAAATCTGTAATGTACTTGGTACTTCATATTATAAGCTGCTGTTAAGTTTAAGCGTGATGGTGTTCAGTTTACAAGAATTAGTATTATTAGTAATTCAGATAAACCAGAAGCACTATTCACTTACCCAAGAAAATGAGCACTATCATGCTGGACAACTCACGGCTGTTCACCTGGAAAAAAAAAGGCAGATGTGTTTCTTCTGACAACTTTCTTAACAGTAACTGTCCAGAATAAGGCATCAGCATCTGTGTTTGCTTCCTAAAACCATTACCAATTCAAGTCAGCTTCCTACGTCATCATTTCCTCACCAATGTTTCCTAAGCTGTGAACTATTCTAATTATATTCAAATTCAATTATTCTCCTGAGTGTGCTGGTGTTGGATATTAGGATATTATGCCTCTAAGAAAGCCCATGAGCAAAATAAAATGATACATAATCTGCACATTCATAAAAAAAGATTTTCTTTAACTAAAATAGTACACTACTTCAAAGCCTCCCAAATATGACCCAAAATTTTCAAAGACACAAGCATACTCAGCTTCCACATTTTAATTACCTCATTAAGGCAAATTCATGTCATTTGAGGGTATGGAAAAGCAGAGAGGCATAGTAGCTCTGGAAAATGTATGCAAAATTCAAGTTCTACTAGAATTAGCCTAATATACATCATACATACTTGGAAGCTACTTCCCAAACAAGGAATGTTGTATTACATGTGCCACAAACCCCAGTATGCTTAAAAATTATGCCACTTCAGCTATAGTATCTCATATCCTCCAAATACAGCTACAGTGTAAAAAAAAAATACTCTTTCCAGTGATGCAGAAATTCTGTGTTCCACTGGAAGGATAATCAACCACATTTGTGTTCATCACTTGACAACTATTTTTTTTTCCTAGTTTCAAGAGGGACTTATTTATCTTATATCTTAGTTTGGATATGCCCTTCTTCAAGTAAACCTACAGCACATTACCTCCCCAGGGGTGTCATGAGACTTCTACTTTTAAATCACCTGGCGACATTTCCATAACGAATCCTTAAAAGATATAAAATGCTACTTCAGCAAGAAAGTAAGAAGACAGCAGGATGGGAGAGAGGTATTAGTGCAGTTACGCAATTGAGTTTTTGATTGCATACTGTTCGTGTTTATTTTATACTAGTAGAGAAGTTATACTATATTTTGTTTTCAGCAAGCATAATGAAAAGAACACAGACTCTAGAGTCCAACAAACAAAAATTATAACAATGTTTTTCTCTATAGAGCTAAGATAAGTGACTTAGCATTGGAAGTTATTCACTCCTCTGTAAAATGTATTGATCGTATTAATGTTTGCTGTAATATAAAGTATGTATATGAGGGGCTTACATCACAAAAAAATTACATTCGCTGGCTTATTTATTACCTAACAGAAGCATTATAATATCATAAAACTAATCAGTCTTTTCTTCTTTTCAAGGGATTGAGTGGCTAAACTTTTCTAATGACGTCTACCAAGATAATTGTTCTTCTTGATATAAGCCATCTTAAAAGGACTTAAGCTAGAGACAGAGTTGGTTACTACCATAATTGAAGAGTCCAGGGGAAGAATTAATTTCAGCCGTGTTTTAAACTGTTTCTTCTGGGTCTATGTTGTTTGTTTCCTCCTGTCTCTTAGCTGCTTTTTTCTCTACCAGTTCCATTCTTTCCTTCTGGTGGGAAGATGAATGTCAAGCCTTTGGCTAACAGCCTTGTCTCTTAGAAAGCAGAGTAGAAAGTGTTATTCTTTGCTTATTAAAGTTGCAGAATTAAGTCACATCAGTTCTAGATGTGTCAAGTGCCCATCGGTTTTACAAAAGGAACTTACCTTATGTCCAGTATCACAGATACAGGGTTGTAGTGGAGTTGATCCTATTCAAAACACAGAAACTGATGGTGGAGAAGGGGCGCATCATGAAGGAAAATTATGGTATTAGAAGAAGCAGCTGAAGGGATCTTGGGGCAGCAAAAGCCACATGCTTAGTAAAGCATCTAAGTGCTGAGTTTAAGAAGAACAAACACAAAAAAATAAACTTATGAAACACATGAAGAGAACAACATAACAATTTTCTGTTCAAGGAAGGTGATACATAGTGTACTCCTTTCTAGAGTGCAGTGATACACAGAAACTGAATGTAAGACACAGAGTGAATGGTGCTAATCTTTGCCAAACAAATACAGCTTCTGAGGTATATAACTTACAAATATAGAAAGCACTTGTGGGCATATAGCTGCTTTTCCAACATGAAATAATATCAGCTGTTTTACCAGTTAATGCCTGTGCATTATGCCATTAGTCTTCTTTCATATAGAATCCTTCCCAGAATAATATTTTAAGGGCAAAAATTTTTTAAAGATTACAAAGGAAATGAAGTATGTTAAAATGTACTTGTCAAAATACGTTTTAAATTTGTGGTAAGTAATATATATGCTTCCTTATTGCAGAAGTCAATATCAAGATCCAAGTGAGTCTAAAAATACTGTAATTTCAGTGTAGTGATTATCATAGATCCTAATTTGAGAGAACTTCCACAAATGCAGTGTCATATAAAAATAAATGTAATTTCTATTAGTGACAAAGATAGCACAGGAAGTACTGAATTTCAATGAGTTTAGTAAAAAGATAACACAATTTTACGCCAGGCAAATTATAGACACCTCATATTAATAAACCCCAATTTAATGTCACTGAATATAATACTCTCAATTATTTTAATGAAAGCTGCTATTGAATCATAACACTTTAGAGAGAGAATCATCGATTTCGATAATTTCTAATTATTTGTGCCTGATTTTAAAATTTATTCTATATTTCAAGTAAAATGTTGTAATATATAAACAAAACAAAAGAAAGTACAGCTGCTCTGGTGGGAATTTTCATGATGAGTTCTAAGCTTTTTGGGCTTTGCCATCACATCCAGAGCTGCTACTGAGTCATCCAAAGGCTCTGAAATTCTAATTTGAAATTGCCTAAATGTATGTAACTGCTTTTTAATAATTTGTTTTTAGCTAAGGTATAATTCTCATGACAGTTAAATGCACGCGACCTCACACCTTGGCAAAAGACAGCAGTATTTACTAAAAGACTATTGTATCAAACACTCTACAAAAACAAAAATGAGGAACAGACCCTAGTTTCATGAATTGGATACATTAGGATGCAAATTAAGCTACATATAAAAAGGGAAGAAAAGAAAAATTGTTAAATAAAACTCTATGCGGGGATCGGGGGAAGATGGCTGACTAGGAACAGCTCAGGATTACAGCTCCCAGTGAAAGTGTAGAGGGTGAGTGGACGCCGCATTTCCAGACAGATTTTTATTGCCCACAGACCAGGAGATTCCCAGGCGGAGGAGCCCCATGGGCTGCCAGCGCGACTGTTTCAGCCCATGCGGCTGCTTTGCCTGCGTCCTGGCACGACGGTTCTCTGGTTCTCCATACAAAAGACACTGGTCCGGGTGCCCTCTTAGCTGGCAATTGGAGCCCTGAGATGGCAGAGTTGCCCATTCATCTGAAATAGCGAGCCAGGCCAGGAGATTCCTAGCAAAAAAACTGCCAGGAATCTCAGCGCCACTGTTTCAGCCGGCTCAGTGAGTCCCGGCAGGGGAGATCCCAGCACCTTTTCAACAGGGAAAGAGTCGACCATTCAACAACAACAACAAAAAAAAAGACTCTGAGTCAGGGAGCCAGATGATCAGGCTCGGCTGGTCCGACTCCCCTCCCCCACAACAACAACAACAACAAAAAACAATAATTGAAAACATTCTGGGTTGAGAGTTTCACAGCAAGCACAGCTGAAACCGGGATGGTCCGGCTCTGTGGGGGAGGGGTGTCCACCGTTACTGAGACACTCCAACACTACGGAGGCAGTCTGACCATGGCTGAGGCAACCTGTTACTACTGAGAGAGTCCGCCATAACAGAGGTGGGCCACCATTGCCAAGGCAGTTCTTTTTTTTTTTTTTTTTTTTTTTTTGAGACGGAGTTTCACTCTTGTTACCCAGGCTGGAGTGCAATGGCGCGATCTCGGCTCACCGCAACCTCCGTCTCCTGGGTTCAAGCAATTCTCCTGCCTCAGCCTCCTGAGTAGCTGGGATTACAGGCACGCGCCACCATGCCCAGCCAATTTTTTGTAGTTTTAGTAGAGGCGGGGTTTCACCGTGTTGACCAGGATGGTCTCGATCTCTTGACCTGGTGATCCACCAGCCTCGGCCTCCCAAAGTGCTGGGATTACAGGCTTGAGCCACTGCGCCCAGCCGCCAAGGCAGTTCTAACTATACCCATATAAACAGGACTGCAGGGAATATCACATGGCAGCTGGGCAGAGCCCATAGCAGCTCAGCCAAGCCTCTGCAGGCAGACAGTGACTAGGCTGCCTCCTCACTGGGCAGGGTATCCCTGAAAGAAAAAAAAAAAGGCAGCAGCACAACGGAAACTCATAAATAAAGCCCTAACTCACTGAGAGAGAGCACTGAGGGAAAAAAAAAAAGGAGGGGAGTTTATGAGCTCTGCAGCAGCAGACCTAAATCTACCTGCCTAGCAACTCTGAATGAACAACGGAGCTCACAGCTTAGGACTTGAGCTCCAATAAAGGACAGACTATCTCCTCAAGCATCTCCCTGACCTCCATATAGCCACAGAGTCATCTCATAAAGTAGAGAACAACTGACATTTGGCGGGCATCCTTCTGGGACAAAGATAGCAGAAGAGGAAACTGGTAGCAACCCTTACTGTTCTGCAGCTGCTACAGGTGATCCCCCGGCAAGCAGGGCCTGGAGTGGACCTCAGCAGTCCTACAGCAGAGGGGCCAGACTGTTGGAAGGAAAGCTAAGACAAAGAAGTAACTTCAGCATCCACAAACTGGAAGTTCACTCAGAGACCCAATCTGAAAGTCAGTAACTACAAAGACAACAGGTGGATAAACCCACAAAGATGGGAAGAAACCAGCAAAAAAAGGATGAAAACACCCAAAACCAGAACACCTCTCCTCCTAAAAGGGATCACAACTCCTCACCAGCAAGGGAACAAGGCTGGATGGAGAAGGAGTGTGATGAAATGACAGAATCAGACTTCAGAAGGTGGATAGTAAGAAACTACAGTGAGCTAAAAGAACATGTTCTAACCCAAAGCAAAGAAACTAAGAATCTTGAAAAAAGATTTCATGAAATGCTAACGAGAATGGACAACACAGAGAGGAATATAAGTGAATTCATGGAGCTGAAAAACACAACATGAGAACTTCGCAAAGCATGCACGAGTTTCAACAGCCGAATTGACCAAGCAGAAGAAAGGATATCAGAGGTGGAACATCAACTCAATGAAATAAAACAGGAAGGCAAGAATAGAGAAAAAAGGGTAAAAAGGAATGAACAAAGTCTCCAAGAAATGTGGGACTATGTGAAAAGACCTAATCTACGTTTGATAGGCATACCTGAACGCGACGAAGAGAATCAATCCAAGCTGGAAAATACTCTTCAGGATATTATCCAGGAAAACTTCCCCAACCTAGCAAGGCAGGCCAATATTCAAGTCCAGGAAATACAGAGAACACCACAAAAAGGCCGAGAACACCAGCTAGCATCAAAATGGCAGTATCAAATTCACACATAACAATATTATCCCTAAGTGTAAATGGACTAAATGCCCCAATAAAAAGACACAGAATGGCAAATTGGATAAAAAGCCAAAACCCATCGGTGTTCTGTACCCAGGAAACCCAACTCAAATGCAAGGATACACAAAGGCTCAAAATAAAGGGGTGGAGGAAGATTTACCAAGAAAATGGAGAGCAAAAAAAAAAAAAAAAAAAAAAAAAACAAGAGGTGCAACTCATCTCTGACAAAATAGACTTTAAAGCAACAAAGATCAAAAGAGACAAAGAAGGACATTACATAATGGTAGAAGGATCAATGCAACAAGAAGAGCTAGCGATCCTAAATATATACGCACCCAATACAGGAGCACCCAGATACATACAGCAAGTTCTTAATGACTTACAAAGAGACTTAGACTCCCACACAATAATGGGGGAGACTTTAACACCCCATTGTCAATATTAGACAGATCAACCAGACAGAACATTAACAAGGATATCCAGGACCTGAACTCAGACCTGGAACAAGCAAACCTAATAGACATTTACAGAACTCTCCACCCCAAATCCACAGAATATACATTCTTCTCAGCACCACATAACACCTACTCTAAAATTGACCACATAATTGGAAATAAATCACTCCTCAGCAAATGCAAAATAATGGAAATCATAACAAACAGTCTCTCAGACCATAGTGCAATCGAGTTAGAACTCAGAATGCAGAAACTAACTCAGAAGCGCACAGCTTCATGGAAACTGAACAACTGGCTCTTGAATGTTGACTGGATAAACAATGAAATGAAGGCAGAAATAAAGATGTTCTTCGAAACCAACGAGAACAAAGACACAACATACCAGAATCTCTCAGACACATTTAAAGCAGTCTCTAGAGGAAAATATATAGCAATAAGTACCCACATGAGAAGCAAGGAAAGATCTAAAATTGAAAACCTAGCATCAAAACTGAAAGAGCTAGAGGAGCAAGATAAAAAAAAAAAAAACTCAAAACCTAGCAAAAGACAAGAAATAACTAAGATCAGAGCAGAACTGAAGGAGATAGAGACACAAAAAACCCTTCAAAAAATCAATAAATCCAGGAGCTGGTTTTTTGAAAATATC